ACGTTTTAAATCTTAAAATTTGTCAATATTAACTCATCTGAATTTTTTATTAAGGTATGTCTTTGAAAACGGTTTCTATGATGTAACCAAACATGAAGCAGTCTAGAAGGGTTTAACTCTGAGGGCCCGACTGGCTGAGGGTTATCAAAATACACTTGAAGGCATTTATTGTTCGTGCGTAGTACGAGCTCTAGCCCCATCTTGCTGGAAATATCCTTCAGTTAATTCTTCGCCATATAGCTGGTTGATTGAGGACGTATAAAATATATTCCCTATACAGAAAAATTGAACGATACACGTATTGTGTTCAACGGTGTAGCTCCTTATTGTTTGTTGAAGACAGTTTGGTTTCATAAGGGCAGTCGCTACGTTTTTTGCCTGGAATTTTCGGTAGATTTTCAGAATGTCCACAACTTTCTTTATATAACGCAAGAGCAATTTTGTTTAAAACAGTTTGTGTTCATTCTTTTTTGAGTGAAATTTTCGCATAACGTATGTTTAAAAATCAATATCTCAATTATTTCGACTTTTTTTTGTTAGAAACGATACACAGTAAAAAAAAAACTTGTGTCGTAGAGGCTGCTGAACGTTTATTTTTATTATACATCTCAGTTCCAACAAATAAAGTCGAAAATATATCTGATACGATTTCAAATTTTTTTTTTACTGAAAATAGTGGTGAAAACAGCGCTCCAAAATTTCCATAAATAACTGAAATATTGATATTTTCAAATACGCGATGCAAACATTTCAACAAAATTAAAAAAAAATAATAAACTGTTAAAAAAAGTGCCCTCGCATTATATAGTGAAAGTTGTGGACAAGTTAAAATTAAAATGAGAAAGAAAAACTAAAATAGACATTTATTGGCGACTAAGCGACACGAGGAATATGATAAATGTCGCTACGTGTAAGTGAATGAAACCAAAGAAATAATTTGAAGAAAAAAAGAAGAACAATCACCGCTTTAAAGAAAAAGATGCTTAGCAATCTAATCACGTCTAGATTAGTAAATAAATTCAAAATAAAGCCGAGGTGTACAAATAATACGGGAGAGAGCGGAGGATTGCAAATGTATTAACAATAATAATGTTTCGTTAATCCCCGAGTTTTCGACGTTTTAACATTTCGTCATTTTTAATAGTTCTAAAGGCAGCATTTGACATAGTCAGGAGATCGACATTGTGAAATAAACAACATAAAATTTCATAATTTTCATTTGAGAAAGTCTGTACAAAAAACCGAAGCACAAATAAAAAAAAACACCTATGAATTCACATTAGCCACTGAGAGAAGGCAAGGGAAACGACATATGTCTACGTGGGACTTTATGTATATGGGAGACGTTCAAGATTAAAAATTAACTAAAACTAACAAGAACAAAAATGAGAACCACTATTTTAAAGGAAATCATGTTTGGCGATTGGGGTAAGGTCTAGACTTGTAAATATTTAAATTGAAAGCAAAGCCTCAAGGTTTTACACATAATCTGAGACCCATAGCCAAGGATTGGAAAAGTATTAACGATAATGATAATCGCATTTCGTTAAGCGCTGCTTTTTTGGAAGCTTTAAACATTTAATCATTTTTCGTAGTTCTAAAGGCATTTGACACAAGATAAATAAAAATTTAAGAACATCTAGAGAGAAAACATATTGCGAGACTCAAAAAATTCAGTAATATGAAGGAACAAAAACAGGGGATACAACATATGAAGTATTACAGTAAAGCTACTCTTTAAAGGTTAAAGTGTTCATTTTACAAAGCAGACTTTAAGTAGGACGAGGTGGAGTTTAAGAAATTATATTTTGGTATTAAGTTAAACGAATTATGTATGGCTCATATACAAGGAGTAGCTCTTTTTGGCCAACTTTTATTAAAATAAAAAAAAAAAGAACAGTAAAATTGTTGATCTCATCTCCTTCCACAAGTTGTCTACAACTGTTCTATTTCAATACATTTTATTAAATAAATCTGGGATGTTCCTGTTAATTTTTGACTGCTATAACAAACACTATTCTACTGTCTAATGTGCTCCCACAAGATCGAACTGCAAAATACTTGTCTAATAAAAGGGACACTTTCACATCCAACTTTATTCTAGGAAAGCGAAATATTTTTTGAAGATTTCCGTAATAATTCAATAACTTCTGACCTGGATCAGACAAGAAAACATCCGTTTCATCCATCATCTAAGCAAACAGTGTCGAAACATTTATAAAAAAATAAGTGTATAATCCAGTCGGGAATAAAGAGTTTCCAAGCAGCGTAACGATGGATTTTAATTTGAGTAGACAATGATAATTAGTCTGATTAGTGGATGAAGTTCATGAATTAAAAGTCTTCAAGATAAGCAAGAGTGTGTTATATCGAGTTCCTTTGTTCCTAAAGAGAACAATATAAAACGGCAGAAATACAAAGCGCGGTTCTTCTGAATATAGTTATTGCACGCAATTATGCCATTAAAACCTACTGAATATTTCATGTCGTTATGAATTATGAATAACTACACAGTTCGCGTGATTATCCCGAGATAAACCGATGTAGAAAATTGTTTCATTAGTAACTCTGAATATCGCACGTATTTGCTCATGCCAAACAACGGCTCGGTTTGCATGAAACGGTACACAATAGTTGTCCTACGATACAAAGGTCTCATTAATCTGTTCATTAAAATTAACCACCTGTTCACTACGCCATCACAGTGTAAAAATCCCTTCGAACAAGAGAATTAAACAATGGCCGGTTCATTCCGGTGGAGCACAAACTGCGGCTAAACATAATTGGAAAAGTCGCGTTTAGTGATGCAGTGTTTCGTTCTGGGTCAGGCTTGATACACCATCGACACCATTTCCAAAGTTGGGACAAGCGTAAAATTGAATATTCATGAAGCTCGGGCTTAACACGAATATTTGCCGAAAAACTAATTTGCAGAAAATAGAACGATATATCTTTGTAACACCCTTTTTAGCACGACAATCCGTCCAACCCGACCCAAAAAGTTAATTAAAACGGCTGCATTACGGCGAAAACGGAGGAAAAAACAACAAATTCGAAATACGCAATCTCCCGTCCTGTGCGACACCGCGAAGTTCTTTTTTCCCCAACAAACAGACCTCCTTCCACAGAACACACAAACTATTCTCAAGAAAAGTTTATTCAAGACACTAAAAGCGGTGCAAATACCAAACACCTCTAAAACTTCCTTAGACAAATATTAACACTAGATATTTGTCGACCAACAATTCTTTCTCTTCTTCACTATAACCGAGTTAGGTTCTTTACTTAATTTAATATTTAACTTGTGCTTTCCTGTTGCCGTAACGCCACACACAGATTTAAACCTCCATTTAATATAATTTGTAGGCCATTAAAACGGCAAAGAAGATAAGCTCTTAATACCGCCCAGAAAGGTGTTCTACACTTTAATAATTTTCGACTAATCTACAAGGGTATTTAAATTTTCCAAAATTTATAGCATTCTCAATTGTACAAACACGAATAAATCAGTCTTAAATGTAAAATAGAGGGTTTTAGAATGGCACCAAAGCACGAGACGAAAACTGTTAACGAGATTAATTCTTTCCACACCCAACATGACGAAATCAAACACAGAATAGATTCGCGGGTATGATGTGAACAAATTTTGGCCAAGTTTTTGTGTGGTCAAGATCTGAGTAAACTTCATGAATATAAATATAGATAAAATATTACAAGCAGACGCTCCATTTGGTCGTTTAAGCACCCTTCTAAATATTGCGAGTGTTTCACATCTCCTATTTGTCTCGGGAAGTGTGAACAGCTGCCCTCTTTACATACAAAATCAAATACAGATTAGTGATACGGGGAGGGTGCGAATTATGTTTGAACTGTGATGAGTTGGAAGCAGTGGAAATAAATGTACGGTGAAACTGACTGCTTAGATGACAATTTATATAAGAAGATTATTGCTTTCAGTAGTATGATTTTATGAATCATTGCCGCCACCCTAATCCATATAGGATAAAGCCTAATGAATACAATAAGGGAATTAAAAAAATACTTGGGAAAACAGGATCAATAATAATGAAATCTTTGTAATAATAATTCTTGTTTTTTTAATAATAATAGTAAATTAAAATAGAAATATAATCGGATTTGAGCTGCATTCAACTAGTTGTTTTGGTCACATTACAATCTAAACCTATACTAAGTATACCACAAATTAAATTACACTAGTTTTAAAAAACTTCGACCGCGATCCAACTACAAGAGTAACTGCCGATCGAACGATTGTGGCCAAAGTAATAACGCGTCGTCAAGCTTCCGGTACATTGTATTTTTTTTTTTTTTTTGAAAGCTTATTTGTGGTTTTAATGTTTATTATATTTATTTAACAGGAAGGACTATTACAGTCGGTACATGAAAATTTTGAATTCTATGCATCAAAACACAAAATTAGGTAAAAATTAAACATTCTCAGATATTCACTATTCTTCGAAGATACCCTACACCATGGAAAACTGTAGGTAATTGATTCCTGTAGCAATTGTTAAAAGGTAATAATTAATTAAGTACAAAAACTGGAGCAAATTCGGAAAACAATGTTGGCGAACTCAAAACGCGTCTACATACGTGTGAAAATATTGATCACCTGTAAATAATAATTTAAAAAAAATCGACCACTAAATTTGGGAAAGTGAGAAATAATTTGTGTTTTTTTTAATGCAAAAATAGGTGCGTTGATCGTTAACAGCTTGAAAAACAACAATAAAGTTAACAATGTCGCATTACAAGCTCACCACAAAACAATAACGAAGTAATTAAAATTTCTGTAATTAATTAACAAATAATAAACATCATTGTTGCCAGCCATAAAAATTATTTACGACTCATAAAAGTTCCAAACGAAAACCAATTATTACAAATCATGATTAGCAGATATCGTAGTTTATAAATATTGAACGTTAATGTGTTTCCAACAACGGCGTTTCATTATTACATTATCCATTTTCATTATTAATAACTCACAGTGCTAATTCCAACCTGCCATCTTCGCTGAAAATTAACGCAGTTTATGCGGGCACGAAGGGTGTGGCGGCGAAGCAATGCCACTGCAATGTCATACACACGCATATTAAAATTTAGTGCTGAAAATCGCACAATACTCTGTCAAAATTAGGCATAAACAACAAATTGCAACGCAATCTCCAGGCAACTGCCACTGTCACGCAAAAATCCAAATCCATTTAATTCTCCAGTCGTAAACGCGGATTCCAATTTCAACAATTTAACGCAACACCAACACAAGCTTACGTAATTAGCTTTCACCAGCGCAAACACCGCAATTACATTACATTGCATGCAAGACTTGCCACAGCTCATCCCTTCCCCAGCTCTGAACCTACAACTGCGCAACAATAACCCGCTCAGAAGAGTTCCGAATGTCGTGCAACTCGCGTGTGCAACGCAACATATTTCGTGCAATAGACCAGGATGTCCGAACACAGTGAAGAAAAATTCATGTGGGGTCACGAGGCTACGTGTGAATTAATACAGCTGTATAAAAGGCATCCGGTTCTGTATGCGAGCTTTAACAGCGACTACAAGAATAAAGGCAAGAGGCTGGACGCACTGAACGCAATTCGAAGCGAGTTGGTGAGAAGAGGGAGGAACATCAGCATTGAAGATATCAAGCGGAAGATTCATGGGTTGAGGACACAGTACGCCAATCAACTGTCTAAAATGAAGAAAAACGTTGAAGTTAAACCTACGTTGTGGTGCTTCAACCAGCTGGATTTTCTGAGAAATGTAATTTTGCCTGTAACTACTACTCTTGTCTGTTATTATCACATTTTTTAGAGCTACGAAGGCCAGCATGAACCGGATAATGATAACATACACGAATCCAAAGATCTGGGGCATTATAACGTGTATGAACACGATGATTCTCAAGAAGTGGCGAGTTTCTATGATGATATCAACGTCAAACAGGAAGTTACTCCCACGAATGGTATGGTTGAGACGTCGGTTTTCGTGCCGGTTTCGGATATCAAGAAAAGGGAGAGAACCGAAGATGATTTAAGCACTTTTGGCAAGTGAGTACGTCTGTCAGGCAGTATTTGCAGTATGATACAATGTTGGTGAAATACAATACAGTGGATATGGAATTTCCGTGTATCAAATTATTGTTATCATTGCAGACTTGTGGAGCTCGAGCTTCGGAAAATTACGAATCCCCAGTTATTAAGGAAAGCGAAGAAAGAAATTATCAGTGTTTTGATGGACGCTCAAGACGATTCAGATATTTGAGCCGTTTTTGTAAATAATGACATAAATAAATAATGACGGTAAATGGAGTGTTATTATTCGTTTCTTGTGGCTGTGGAATTACTCAAGTCCCGCAGGCAAACAGTTTGCTAACATTCTGTCTTCGTTGTGTTTAATAAGATGTCTCGAAGCAATGGAAATTGTATCAGCACTGAAATGCTGAAGAAAGAGTTCAAGTTTGATGTTGACTGTAACAAAAGTACTGCATACAAAAACTAGTAAACTGGCGAATCTTTATGCAACGCAACTGTTTTTGAAAACGCTGAAGTTGACTTTTATTTCCCAGTCAAGGTATTATATTACAGTATTATCAAGGTCTGGGACACTTTGTACAATGGCAGGCAGATAACAATATAGATATATATGAGCGAATGAAATCATGACGATGTACTTTTATAAAGTGGGACATTTGTTGACTAAATACTAGAGCTACAAATACAAAAAAAGCGACTGACAAGCTTTATTAATGGCAAAGCACATACTTCTTATGCTTTGATGGCTACACGGCAAACTTTTGATCCATGTAAACATCACTGTTACATGATGCTATAACAGAGGCAAATTGACAGGAATGGAAGTCATAAGATTTTATGCTTACAACTTCCCTATAAGTTTCATGTAGGGTGCTTCTGAAGGGAGAATGATATCTCCATAAAAGTAAGCGAAAGTGTTTATCTCAAGGGATCGGTAAAACTTTACTTGGAAAAAATGGGATGTCAATCATTAGTGGAATGATTTTAAGTAATTACTACTCTTGCTACTTGATAAAGAAAAACACCGAAAGATTTATATTCACCAAGATTCAAATCAAAACAAGAGAAGTTGATGAATCTATAAAAAAAAGGTGTAGACAAAACAAGCGTCAAATTATAACTACGTATGTTAGGAAAAAATTAAGATAGACCAGAGAATATTTGATTAGTTACTGAATCATAAAAAAATAAATGTTAAACTATCATCGATTTGAAATTAGTTTTGTAACGTTAAGTTATCTTACAATAAAATTTTGCTTTCTAACTTATTAAACACTGAATGGAAATTCTTTATGTAACAAAAAATAGTAGTAACAGTTTAACAATTATAGCAAAACATGACAAAGATAATTGGACGAATGATCACTTGAAGTTTTAGAAACATTTAAAGGAAAAACAAGATAAAGTGTGAAGGCTCCAAATGAACACAATTCCGTATTTCAAACTCACAAGTACCAGACGAAATTTTAAAGGGATAACATTTAAACTTTAGCACCTACACAGACGAAATTTTGGAATATGAGTTCCTACCTTAGCATAAGGAAATATCCTCGACTCGCACAGAAGAAGAGACAAACAACTGAAATGAACGGAACCTCCTGAAGCCAAAGGTAAAAGATGTAAAAAATAGCGTACAGAAATTTGACAACGGAAAAATCGTTATAGGAAAAAAGAAGAGAAGAAAATCAAGAAACACTGCACACTAAAACGAAGTATATCGGGGAAAAAATCGGTGCACCTGTTAAAACGCCAAAATTGTAAGAAATGCTAGATCGCAAACATCATCCAAAACTTGAAGAATAGAATTAAAGACACAAGAAAATCCTAACGGTAGAAATCGATGACACGATACTGAGTATTGACTAGGCACTCATGGGCAGGAAAATTTTTGACTTTGAAAATTCACGCATACTCCACAGGAAATCCAGATAAATAATATCCAACGTGACCGCCTTAGATCAAGAACAGCCAAGAGACTATGAATTTGAGAAAAACTGCATAATTAAAAAGCAACTGCAGCAAATCGTGAATTACTGCGAAAATTACCACCAATAACGAAAAGGAACTCCCTACAGGAACAACTGGAAGATTGTAAGGAATCAAAATGGATGCGAAATTTTTGAAAATTGTTGTTCTTACCTTATTGATGTTACTAATTCTAATCATTTTTAACAAGTTCCAGTAAGAATATACTTAGAAGAACTCACGCAAATAATTTACATTGATACTAAATAAAACGTCAATAATTCTACTAATTCATTCATTGGTGTTGTCACCGTGGTAAACTGTGGTAAAATTCGTTACAATTTCAATAGTAAAACATGTGATTCTGAGAATGTTCCATCAGATATTGAAGAACAAAAACAACAACACATTAAAATACAATAACCGTAATTGTGGTAATCCAAAGAAAAATACGGACCCCAGAAAGAACGCAAACATGCTGGCTTTTCCTGGAAGAAAATTGAATTTTTACTAAACTTCAAGGAAAAGAGGAGAACAAAAAATCTTAGGAAATTGCTTTGTCAATTTTAAGGTGGTGGAAAGCGCCTTTTATTTTTGAATGTTTATACTTGAAACACCATTTTTGTTACACCCAAAAACATACAGCTGAGTTTTCTTCTCTATAAGAATGAAAACTGTAAAGATTGTAGTCCAATGGTATCCCATACACTGGGCATGGTTTTACACGAATCCTGCATTATTGTTGGGAAAACTTGCACGAAACAGATAATGTTAAAAAAACAACACTTTTTAAATTCACAAAGAAAATAAATCACACTAGCAACCCCACATTGGTGCTGTCAGGATTAACACAAACCAAGTTGCTTCCAAAAAAATTATAAAAAACAAAAAATAAACCAAATTTTACCTCCAAATTGTCGGGATCTTTAAGAGGATGGTTGAAAACTTATACGAATAATATTAAAATTCCTTTCCGATGTACATTTAATAGTTACATACTTAAAAGCATTTAGTTATTCCACACTGAGAAATTTCATTATTTACAGAACATTTTACATTAGAAACATTATTTTATAAAATCAAATAATTCGGCATCCAAATTAATTTAAAAAAGTTAATATACAAAAGGAGTTCCTGTAGCCTGAAACAAACTCTAGCACGAAAAACCGAATAAACACAATCTTATGAAGTTGTCAGTAACATGTCCTCCCACGCAAAAAATCCCCCACGATCGATCCACTAACAGCAACTAATTGCAGCAGAACCCCTCTTAACTTACACTTCATGATACCTCCATTATAATTTAGCACACTCTCAGCCGTCTGAATGACGTGTAATTGTAGTATCATACCGTCAGTAAAACATCAGCCTGATGGTAAATCAACGGGTAAGTGAATTTGATTTGACTCGACTCTCATTATTAGGTGGTTGAATAATTAAATGGGGTTGTTTTATTGAAGCATGTGCCACACAGACGATAAGGGGAGAAGACCCTCTGCAAACAAGAACGTGCTGCTGCGAGATAATTTTAATTCTGGAGTGGGAAGCTTCTATTGTTGGGGGAACAGATGATGCGGGATTGTTTGGTTTTTATATGCCTCTTGTACAGAACAAAGAACAAGATCAACTATTATAATCTTTTGTCAGGAACTGGACGATATGTCGCCTCGAATACAGAGTACAAATAAGCCGTCAGTCCAATTTACGCGGGTGTTTTTCAGCTTTTGTCGCGGCTTTTATTGCAGTAGATGTGGTTTCGATAAGCTAGAGAGAAGTTGGTAAGTTGATGGATTTAGAGGATGGAGAAATATTAAGATCAGATGACCAAAGGAAAACGTTTGTCAGAGCCTACAGACGGATACATTAGACAAAAAGTTAAATACTTGAATATATTAAAAAATGATCCCACAAAAAATTTCTGTAACATTTATATCAACGTTAAATAATCTACTGTACATTATTATTTGCAATTATATATCTGTTTTGACCTAATAATCAAATATATCTAATAATCCCACACTCAGTACTGAAGGAATGAATAATGGTTATGTATTGTGCACCAATATATAGAACCAGAAAAAATTCCATTAGAATATAAACACTGAACCCTGATCAATCGGTAAATAGCAAAAGCCAAAAAATGAACATGTACAACATAATCACGAAAGAAGAATAAAAAAAATCCAAAAGAACACTACTACCAAATCCATTCTAAGAACGCGATTTAGAACTAAATAAAGGTGAACTAGAACACAAGAAGTGAAATTAACTTTTACACTCACATTAGCAAAAATGGATAAAGAAATAAGTCATGGACAAATATAATTATATGATGCAACTGAGTTACGATAATGTAACAACTATAGGCGGGAAATAATGAAAGAAACATGATATTGCTCTCACAATGTAATAACAACGTGGTCAATCAGGCTGAAGATTAACAATTGCCGCGCAATTGTGTAGGCCTGATTTTTATAATAATTAAAACCAATCATCAGGTGGGTGTTCACATGCGGGCGTTATCTTACATGATAGAATGTATCTGTGAAACCTCTTTTTATCTTGTCGCTTTTTTCCGAGAATATAATATCCAATTATAAACAACCTCCATTCTTGTAATTATTATTTTTGGACGCTCATTCATTGATAATTGCCTACTCGAGACTCGGCTCAACATGGCTAATTTTTTTTAATAATAATAATTACAAGCTTAATTACGTAGATGAAACCAACGAAACTGGAGCTCCCTATCGTTTTTAACTTCTGATATAGGTTTCTTCCGTGAATGTCGTCCGATGCCAGAAATTGTCTTGATGGGTGGTTAAATTCAGTTTTCACATTTTTCACCTACCTACTCGCACTGATGTCAATGGTAAAATTAATTTTCATCCAAAATGGATATTGGTGACGGAAAGCATGCAAAAAGCAAACTAGAAGATGTAGAAAAAAATTGGTCTAAAGAGTTTAGCCAGTACTTCCCTCGCTGTTGGAAACGTGACGACTGCATGCCTATTGTGTTTTTTTTCGCAGTAGATTTCATATATTTTTTTTTGAGTTACCCGGTATATGCAAATTCAAAAAATATGAATGGAATGATAAATTACAAGTACAGACTCATCATATTTTGTATATTCTAGATAGGATTTATTCGGCAAACTTTTGAGCTGACGTCAACAAGTTTTTGGAGGGGATAACCAACTATATTCTGACTAAAGATTTATGATGCTCTTTATAACCTTAAAATATCTGTAAGATTTCAAAGCATTCGGTTTTGTAGTTCTTGATTAACTCAATAAAA